AAATGAATAGCATAAGATGAAAATCATTTTACTGACATAATAGGTATTACGAGCTTGTACTGAAACAGTACTCTAGGCCCCAGTGGGAACATGCTCATGATGGCTGCCAAGAGGACTGGCCTTTGCCTGTTGCTTGAAGACAAACAAGAATCAGCATCTTCTGACTGTGCTGCCGTAGGCATTTTGAGAATATTGTCAGTTTGAATATTAGTTGAATGACTGACCACAATACTTAATCAGACGCAGACTACCTTTTTTTAGTATCACTCAAATTATATTTTACCCCATAACTAAACATTTTTTCCTGTAAATTCTGTTTAGTTCTTGTTAATGTTACCTATTTAATTAATTGTATGGAGATGTACAAAGAAGCTTTTACAAGTTAATGCAAGATGCTTACCAGAAAATATTTCTTTTCCATAGAGAAGTTTATTTGGAGGATTTTAAATTAGGCAAAACAAGGAATGGTATTGATATATATTTATAGACTGTGAGTATTGTAGACCTACCTTGTTTTTAAAGAGATGTATGAGGAATACATATAATCTATGTAAGTTTTAGGTACAGCTGCTTCAGACCACTAAATAGTCTCTGAAGAGCTCTCTCCAATCTTACATTCTAACTTTTTTTTTTTTTTGAGTTGGAGTCTCACTCGGTCGCCCAGACTGGAGTGCAGTGGCCGCTCCCGGCCACCGCAGCCTCGACCTGCTGGGCTCCCGCGATCCTTCCACCTCAGCCTTCCAAGTAGCCAGAATTACAGGCATGCGCTACCATGCCCAGCTGATTCTTTGATTTATTGTAGAGATGAAGTCTCGCTGCCCAGGCGGGTATCGAACCCGCAGGCTCAGGCAATCCACTCACCTCAGCCTCCCAAAGGCGCGGGATTACAGGCTGAGCCACCGAGCCCGGCTCAAACTCTCATTCTTGCTAACATACCTGCCTACAGCTAACAGGATCTCCTGGTGTCCTTCCTACTTCCCCTGCTCCTCATTTTTTATCCTGCTTGTGGCCCCAAACTGTTACTGCCTATCCCTGGCTGCTCGTTAGACTGGGGGGAGGGGGGTAGCGCACACATGAGGGCATCCAGCCATATCCCACGCTTCCCAGCTCTGGCTGCAGAGAGCAGCCATGAGGAACACCATGACAAGGAAGAGGAGGACTTCAAAGGAAACCAGGCCCTCCCAGTCAGCTGGCCCAGCACCTACCTGACATTCCACATTGCAGTAAAATGCCTGCTTGCATCTTCCACATTTGGATAATCCTTCTTTCCTTAAAAAACAGAAAGGGCACTGTAGTAGCAAGAGGCACAGACACATGAAGCTGCACATTTTATCATGCAATAACAAAAGCTATCTGGTTAGAAAGCAGAGCCCAGATTCACCTTACCTCACTCACCCACCAAGAAGTGGCATTTCCCCAAGGAGAGTTTAACCAGATTCAGCCCTTGAGGAGGGGTGAGTTAGTCAAACGGCGCACGAATGCACAATTAACACACCCATCAGTGCAGAGGTTGCTGTCCAAAGAGAGTAAGTACAAACACTGACTCAGCTGTTAACATCATCTGCACCACTGTTCAGGCATCTGGGGCAAGTCAAGGCTCTTATGCTCTGATTTTGTGAACTGCTAAGGAGGCACAGAAGTAAACAAAACTGAGTTGTAGGTTTGACACAAGAAGACAGTGTTGGGGTACACCCACACTATTGAAAACACAATGCGGCTGACAACTCTCATTACTTAGGGATTGCAAGTAATACAGAAGATAGAATTTAGGATGCCAGTACTAGTCAACTGTTGCCAGGAAGCCAAGTTTAAGAATAATGCCAGCTAGCAAATGGAGATAGACTCGTGAATATAAAATTACCAGACCTGACTGATGCACACACACACATCATTTTGTCAGTGTCAGTGTACTATTGAGTGATTCTTCTGTCTCTTCATAAATTAGGTCAGTTCAACTTGTTCACTGTTATATTATGTTCCTGCTTCCCATAAAGGACAACAAGGACATTATTGCTTCCCTACTGTTAGGTGCTAGTGATGTGCATTGTGTGAGATGATTCATAGCTTCTTCAAAAACTGTAAAGCCACTGAATTAAACCACACACTACAAAACTCCTTTTTTGTTTTTTGAATTGGAGTCTCACTTCATCACCTTGGCTGGAGTGCAGTAGCACACTCATGGCCACCCCAGCATCAACCCATTGGGCTCTGGTGATCCTTCCACCTCAGTCTTCCAAGTAGACAGAACTATAGGTGCACACTACCACATCCAGCTAATTTTTTGATTTACTGTAGACATGAGGTCTTGCCAAGCTGTCCAGGCTGTCCTCGAACCCGTGGGTTCAGGCAATCCCCTCACCTTGGCCTCCCAAAGTGCTGGGATTACAGACTTAAGTCACTGCGCCTGGTCATAAAATTCAACTTTTTTTTTTTTTTAAGGAACAGTCACATTGTTTAAGTCAGAGCATGATCTGTAAAAGCCGCTGTCTGATTCTCACCTACCACGCTGAAGCAAGCTTCCTGACTTGTGGGGCCAACGACACCATGGGGGGTGCTGTCATGGCTGCACTGCTGCAGAGCCACCTTGTGCCACTGCATCCCAGTTCCTCTGCAGTCCAGCAGAGCTAACGCTGGGAGAGGGGTGCATGCGGTGGGGTTGACATTTTATAATACAGATGTACATATTGTCATGACGCAGAATCCTCCGCTGCTTCCTATCAGCAAGTGGCAGTCACCACACTCCTCCCACGGAATCAAGAAAGTCTTCCAAAAGCGCTACCGTTGAACTAAACAGACTGCCTTGCAGCTTTCGTGACAGCACTTGGATTCCAAGAAGCAGGCTGAAGGACATGTGGGCGCAAAACACATCTTGGGGATGAAGCATAAATAAATACCCTAAGTTTGCACATCTCAATATTTCAGAAAGGAACCCAATAATTTAGCTGATGTATTCTTTGGCCTGAAATATTTCCTCCCACTCTACCTCCCTCACAGGGGTGCATCTCAAGGGATTCAACTCTGACTTTGTGTTGGAATACAAAAGAAACAAGATGCAGTCCCTGTTCTCTCGGGAGGTACACTCAAAAACAACTGTGAAGTGACTTGTCAGCAAGTGCTAGATGATGTGGACTGTGAGGAAATGCCCAGGGGATGAAAAGAGAAGATGAACAGAGCCAGAGAGGGAGCTTAGAAGCTTCTTTCCCAAAAGAAGCACATCAGGAAATGGATAATGAGTAGGCAGAGTGTCAATCTGAAAAGTAATACTTTCTTTTTTTAGAGACAGGGAGTTTTTTTTAAGAGACTCTGTCACCCAGGCTGGAGAGCACAGTGGTATGATCATAGCTCATTGCAGACTCTACCTCCTGAGCACAAGCGGTCCTCTTGCCTTAGCCTCCCGAGTAGCTGGGATTGCAAGTGCATGCCAGCACGCCTGACTATTTATTTATATATTTATTTTTTATAGAAAAGGGGGTCTTAACATGTTGCCCAGGCTGGTCTTGAGCTCCTGGCCACAAGTGATCCTCCTGCCTTGGTCTTCCAAAGTGTTGGGGTTATAAGCATGAGCCACTATGCCTGGCCTGAAGTGTCATTTTTTACTTTTTTTCTTTGAGAGGGCAGATTGCAGACCTCTTTGAGAATTTTATTGAAGTTATTAATTTCCCTACCAGCCCACCTTCTCCCGCAGCCCCAAAGGAACAACAAGAAAAGTCTGTAAAATGTCATGGGCTCGAGAGTCACCTAAAACCCATGTGTAAACCACCAAAGCGCCTCTGATACCAGAGCTGAGACTCCCTAATATAAAACACTAGGAAATCATCACACTAAAAAACATATTTATTAGCTCTAGAACATATTAAAAAGCAAGGACTACACAGGTCTTCTCGCACACAGGCTGGTAGTAAAGTGAACCAGAAACCAAGGCTTGTGTTCAGCCTCCATGTAACATCCCAGGTAGAGAGCAGGCAACTGAATCCTAGGAAGCTAGGGAAGAACTCCAGTGGGATTCACCAAAAATAATAAATCTTCCAAAGGTCAGCCTTCATTCGAACCAAGTCCTCAGTCACAAACAGTGACAAACAGGAAGAACAGGCTTATTTGGAATTGGTGATATCATTTCAACTCACTACCTCAGAGGTTCCCAGGCTGGAGTCTGAACGCTGCTGGGGTTCTGGAGACCCATTCGGGGAGTTGGTGAGGTTAAACTATCTTCAAAATAACACTAAGGAGACACTGTATTCCTCACTGCTACTCACTCACAGTAAGGAGAGAATGTCAGCTTCACTCAAGAGTATCCCTGATGAAGCAGTTGATGAATGTTCATTTTACTAAATCTTAATTCTTCAGAACATGTTGACACTGTGTGAATTAGGAAGAACGCAGAATGTATTTTTCCCTCATACTGAGTACAATGGCTACCTTGTGGAAAAGGAATGGTGTAATCATCAGTCTTATAGAGAACTAGCCATTTTTTTCTTGGATTTTTTTAACTTGAAAGAACAGCTTTAGACAAACTGTGGTTATTCAGACTTGAGCATTTGGCAGATATATAATTGAAATGTGAAGTGAGCCCATCACTTCCACGAAAACAATATCTGTTGCTAATGATAAAATCTGAGCTTTCAAGCAAAAATTAGAATTTTAGAAAACACATCTGCCACCCTGAGCCTGACAGTTCCTCTTACTTAAGACTTTTTTTTATGAGACCTGTGGTAATATTAACAATTATAATTTTTTACATGGTTTGATGAAATGAGTCAACTTTTAGAAGATCTGTATAATCTAGTAAATCAATATTTTCCAAATGACCAATGTACAGTGCTTTAAAAGTTATGCATGGTTAAAAGAGTCGCTCAAGGTGCAAGATAAACCAAAAGACTTTAATGTGACAGAGTACATAAAGTTCACTAATATGCCTTCAGGTTGCACATTACAACTAACTTTAAGACAATATTGTATATCGAGGTTTAGTGTTGAATCAAGTAAAAATATCCACATTTAACTGAAAAGGCTATTAAAATACTCTTTATAATTACATATCTATGTGAAGCTTTATTTTTGCTACATATTTCAACCAAAACAACATAACCCCAAGACTGAATTCAGAAGCATATTTGAAAATCCAGTTGTCTTCTATAAATTCAGACATTAAAGCACCTTGCAAAACAACTCCCTTTGTTGTTTTGGAAATTCTTTTTTGGAAAATATTTCTCATAAAAAAATGTTACAAATGGTTGTCATTTAAAAATGAATAAGTATAATTTCCTGGTTTTTTTTGTTTTTTTTTAAAATCAAAGTCTAATTCTGTTGCCCAGGCTGGAGTGCAGTGGTACACTCACGGCTACCGTGTCCTCGACCTGCTGGGCTCAGGCAGTCTTTTCGTCTCAGCCTTCCAAGTAGATAGAATCACAGTCATGTACCACCACATCCAGGTAATTTTTTGATTTATCATAGAGACGAGGTCTCACCATGTAGCCCAGACTGCTCTTGAATCCCTGAGGGTCTTGGGCAATCCTCTTGTCTCTGCTTTACAAAGTGCTGGAATTATAGGCATAAGCCAAGTGACCGGCCAATTTTCTGTTTTAAAGTCAAATACAGTAAATATTGCTAGATATAACCCATATGAACAAAAGATCTTTAGGTTTTCAATCCTTTTTAAGAGTATAGAGGAACCCTAAGACCAAAAAGTCTGAAAACTGCTAATCTACTTTAATAATCCCATCAGGTCTATGAAGAAGTTATTATTATTCATGTTTTTCAAGTGAAGATAGTGAGAATCCTAAAGTTAAAATAACTAATCAACATGGTCATCCAGCAAGAAGGTAGTGAATTTGAATTCACACATTATATCTTCATCATGCAAGAACATCCTTCCTTGAATACTGTGACAGTGGTCCAGGAGGACAGACCACATGCAGCAAAAATAATCTATATGTCTGGATAAGCTAATAGCAATAACAAAATCTAAGCTGAGGCAGTCTTTACTCTGTTCTGCATAATGGCCCAGCTCTGGTGGCACCTATTTGCTCCAAAGATACAATGGGGAAGGGATCCAGGACCATTTTCCAAATGAGATCTGGGGAGGGAGAATGCACACAAAGAGGGTCTCTCAACCAATGCGAAGCAGATTGGAGGAAAACAAGGATTGATGTTGTATATATTCTGTACAGAGAAGGTCCTTTCCTTTCATTGGGTATGGTACATACATGTTTCTCAGAGAGACACTGGGTAAGTCCAAGCCGGGTCATGTCCTCTACGAACCTTGTGATAGAATATTGCACTCTTCACTAAAACTGAAAAGTCTTGTCTGGCTCTAGGGCAGATTTCACTCTAAGTATGCTAATTGAATCATTTACTTGCTTATAAGTGAATTTTCTTAAGTTAGATCCTCCTGAGCTACCCTGCCTTCAGAATAGAGAAGAAGAAAAGTTAACAGTTTGTGATAGCTACTGTTACTGATTGTGAACAACATCAGAATCTACTTTGATCTATTTTGGTATAAGCAATTCTAGATGAGGTAGGTTGGGGGCGGGGAGGGAGCCCTGTTTAAATTGTCCAGATACATGCTTCAATTTTTTCCAGAGCTAGGCAGCGATACAAACTCTTCAAAAGTCTCATGGCTGAAACACAAACTAAAATTTGCTGAGCTGGTACCTGCATTGTGTGTGTGTATATACGCACACACACATACACTTCAGAGAGAAAGAGAGAGATCCTGTGAGTGTCTGACTATTGCTGACTGAGGAATTATAGCCAGAGAGAAACTTCATATGGGCTATCCATTTTCACTGTAGGAATATACACGGCATTTGGAATAAACTCTGTTCCTACAAAAGACACAGTTGTAAATCTTTCATTTGCAGTGTAACCTAATCTGAGTTGTCCAGGAGGTTTGGGGAAAGATTGTGCAAAATAAAAAAATTCTCTCAAAAAAAAGAACAAATAACTCCAAAGGAATGAAACTAAAAGAAAAGTTAAGAGTGAATCACTTAACTTCTCTCAGTGGCTCTCAACTTTGGCTGCCTGGGGCAGGGCCCATCAGTTCTCATTAGATTGGTATGTGTTGGGCCCAGGCGTTGGGACTTTTAGAAAGCTTCCAGGAGATTCCAGCGTGCTTCCAGAAGCAGAGCCACTGGCCTATGGAAATATATTTGGGTTGAATGACTTTTTTGGTGCAGAAAATGCTGTATAGTGTCGAAGCACTCTGCAAGGCAGATCGTTAAGCTTGTTCAGAGGATCTTGAGAACGAATGGCACACACAATGTACTCGTATTAGATTGTTAGCTATCCTATGATGAATGTTTAAGAAAGAATAACGTAGTCAACACTGTATGCTCTATGACAAAATATTCTAGAAGCCAAGTACAAGTGTTAGGAAAGAAAGCCTCAGCTTTCTTGTCGCTTCTTCCTAATTCCTGTTTCACAATTTAGGATGGATAGTGACTCTTTCCACCTCTCTACCTCAAATCCTTTTTTGTTTCTGGCATTTAATGTGCTACATGATTTGGGGCAAGTTATTAATCCTTCCCGAACCTCATTTCCTCCACTGTAAAATAAAGACATAGTTTCTACCTCACAGGTCTGCTATGAAAGTTAAAGGAGAAAATATAAGTGAGACATTCAATCCTTTGCTTGGATCACTGTAAATATTCAATACATGTTGGGCACGACTATATTTTTAATTAGTCTTTGTGCTTTTGTGTTTGTTTTTTTTTTTTTTAAAGTGATGTCAACTACTGAAATACCATCGGCACAGCCTCACTCAGACTCATAGCTAGAGGATCTATGTTTCCAAAGCCTTTGTTTTATGGGCAAATATCTGCCCTGCTGTGAATAGAAGGGCTCTTTGAACTT